ATTTTCCAGAATGTGAACACCTGAAAACACCTTTTTGTGACTACGATGGGTCAAGACTACAGCAATGCCACTCCAAAATATGTGTAAACACACATGAGAAATAAGCAGTATCTATTAAAAATAAAAGTTTTAGGTTGGGGGTAGGGGTATAGCTCCATGATAGAGTTTGCCTAGGATACATGAAACCCTTGGTTCAAACTCTAGTGTGTGGGGAAGAGGGGAGACAAGTTAAATTTAACAGAATTTACCTGAACAAAGAACATTGATTCTGTAATAAATCCTTTCTAATATCCCTTTACTTTGAAACATGCCAGCAAATACGCTTTCTCACTAGATGCAACAAGCAGTACACACAACATGTTTGACTGCAGGGATGTGGCAGATTAGATGGAGTACACTGACACTAAAGTGGGTGGTGTGGCTCAGGAAACTTGTGTTTTGGCTTAAAATACTATCAAAATGACAAAAGTCAGAAATTTATGTCCCCTGCTTAGGCCTCACTGTCTAAGACCAGGCTCCAAGACATAAAATGATAAATTCAATATCTCCATCTATCGTTTAATAAAGCACTTCTCAAATGATAGATAGTACTCTTTTCTTTATAAAGTACCCAGTCTCAGGTATTTTGTTACAGCAACAGCAATTGGACTTAATAGAGGATCAAGCTTTATTTCTGATGTGTGAATAGCAAAATCCTGTGTTAAATGAAGTTTAGCCTTTCCTAGTCTCTGAACTCTACGAGTCTACCTCATTCTTTCTCATTGGCTATCTGCTTAGGTCTTTTGGTCCAAAGAGACTCATCTTTAAGGAGTTTTCTGATATTATAGAGTCTAACCCAAAACACCAGGGGATGCCTCCAAGATTCTTGCAAATGTTTCCCTTTAATCTCCTTGCCTCTACTTCTAGGGCTTGGAATATCTGCCTCTTTGTCAGAGTAGAAAGGTGAGACCCAGAGTTAAAATGCAGAACAAAGAGACTTCTCTCATATCCAAAAATACAAAAATGCTTCTGGAAGCCTCATTTCCAGCTCAGAGAAGCTGAAAGGTTCCACCATGAAAGGCAGTGTGTATACTTACTAAAGCCTTACACCATGGTAGAACTCATAGGTACCTTAGAGCTGTAGGACTCCCACAAATGTACCCCATCCTTCCTCCTCCTGTGTAGGATGCCAATCCTACTCAGTCCCAAGCTCCTTGTTTCTAGAGTCCTTTTTTCTCAGTCCTTCAGGAATAGCTTTGTCTGGATTTTTGAAGCTGAGAAAGCTCAATAACTATTCAGCAGGATTATGTGTCTTTGGTCTGCAGAGGAGACCCCAGCTTCTATCCCAAAAAAGCCTAAATAAACACCAACTACTACAAGTGCTTTTGTTACATCCCTGCTAGGTATACTAGTTCTAGAAGTAGAGAACTGGAATCACAGTGAAGATAAAAAAAGAGAAGAGGCACCTAAAAGCTATATTGGGGTGTTCTGTAAGGATCTTAGCCCCCAAAGCTTGTCTAAAGATATAAATAAGTTTTCTGAAACATGTTGAGAATTACTCAACTCTATTAGCCTTATTAGAGTGATAGGTTATGAACTCTACCACAATCAGTGTTCTTAAAGATGTTCAAACATCCAAGGGCAGATGGAAGGATATACAAGACCAGATCTGGGTTATAACTGAATTTTAGAGAATGTGATAAAAACCCCAAAACCTCAGTGTTACTGTCAGTTTCTAGACTGTCATACTAGAGGATTTCCATGAGGTAGAATTCCTCAAGACTTCCGAGAAGACCTTTTTGTCAAAGACCCAGGAATAGCTGGAGTGACATCCCCTAGAAAGTGCAATGTGTCCTTCTGTATCCTTTTTACCTGGTATTTTTCTACCCCTAATCAATATATATTTACTTTTTTATTCTAAATCCTGTGTGAGCAAAGGGCAACTGTGCCATGTTTGATAAAGATTCCTGGGAGACAATAAGCCGAACCATCTCTACGTCACAGCCTGTCTTCAGCTGCCTAGATAGTCAAGAATCAGAAGGTCAGGATTGAGTTTGACTAAACCCAGGACTCACCAGAGTCAGGGCAGCCGGTGGGAGTAGGCACTACGTGTCTGACAAAAGTGGGCCAGACAGGGTGAGCTACTTTACCTGTTCAACTTTTAAGCTGTCATAGCCACCTCCAGCTCCAGGCAAGGTGAAGCCCTTTTGTGGAGGGAGGTGAGTGTCCTTCCTGATCCAACAGTGGGAGATGGGAGGAAGCAGCAAGTTCATCAGATGTGGTTAAGTCAAACCAAGTGCAAGCAGGAATCTCTCCTGAGCAGGTTGTCTGGAAGTGTTAAAGGTGCTGAACTGGCAGCAGGGCTCCTGGTGGTGACTGCCAGTGGCCTTGGTCTCCGAGACTCCCTTCAGGGATTGCTCACTGGATGCCTAGTGAACACCCTTCCTTTTTGTCTGAGGGTCCTACTCCTACCTCCTATCTCCTAGATCCCATTTCTTCCTGTCTTGGAGGAAGGTGAATGCATTCATTTTGGTGGAGTGCATTCTCCTGTGGCTGCTCAGCAAGGGTTTTTTTTTAACTTGCTCTTCAGAAAATGTTGTGTGTTGTGGAAATAAATAATTTCTTTCAGAATTCCAAAGGGATTGCTCTACAGTTTTTGTCCAATATAACTGATCAGGTGTCTAAAGCCAGTATTATCCCCTATTCTTTCTATGTTTTCTATTCTTTTTTTCTATAAACTTCTATCCTTTTTTCCCCCCAAAGGTTTTAAAACAATGACCTGTGCCCTCCAGTCCTCTCCCCCATGGCAGTATTTGGGGTTGGATTACTTTGGTTCTCAAATTTTCCTAGATTTTTGCTATATATTTTTTTTAAAAATCTCTTATTCTTTTTGCTCTAGATTCTGAGTGAATCTGCAATTTCAAGGTTTTTTTATTCATTTCAAAATGTCAATATTTAATTTCTTATTGCTGCTGTGAAAAGTAACCATAACACTGGTAACATAAAATAGCACAAATTTGTTATCTTACAGTTTTTGAAAACAGAGGTCCAAAGTCAGTTTCACTGGACTAGAATCACAATGCTGGCCTGCGTTCTTCTTGAGGCTGGGTGAGACCTGCTGTCCTTGCTTTCTCAGCTTCTAGAGCGCATTTACATTTCTTCATTTGTACCCCTTCCTCCCTGCTCAAAGCCAGAAGGGTAGAAATTTCTCTCCTCCCTGAGTCCTGTTTCTGGCCTTACATCTCTCTCTGAATATAATACTCTTGCTTCACTCCTCTAAAGATGCTTGTGATTCACTGGGCTCACCTGGATAATCCAGGAGATAATCTCATTTAAAAACTCTTAATCACACCTCTAAAATCCACTTTGAGGTGACAGAGATAGGACATGGCATGGGGTATGTGAAAGGATGACTACCCTGCCACAGTCAGTATCTAGTTTGCTCCCCACTGGCCAGCCTCCCTAGAGTCTCCAGCTGGAGTGGTGACATTCTGGTTGGCTGTAAACATTTGGATGCTTAGGGGCTTCAGAGGGCTTGAGGGGAGATGTGTCTCAGCGCACATATGCAGGATGTACAAGTCACTTGATCTCTCTTATTTGGGTGTAGCATCCATGCCTTTAATGAGTCTAGTTTTCTTCAACCTAGAAACTATTTTCTAGAGAATAAACTTGTAGACATCTGCTACCCAGTGGCATGGAGAGAAGGAAAATAGGGACTCATGTCTCATTCTAGTGGTCTTCTTTGATTTTTGGGTCAAACAATACCTTATACTACAAATTTGGGAGTCTTTTGAGCATTCTGAGGTATGAATCAAGTTGGTCCTCAGCTTATCCTACTGATGGCTCAAGATTTTCATGTTTATTAAGTTGGTTTTGTCAGTTACCTCTCATAAGTTTGCTTTGTAGCTCCCAAAATTTTATAGCTGTTGTATCGTTTCCTAATCTCTCTTTTCTTTTTTTTTGGTACTGGGGATCAAACTTGGGTCCTTCTGCTTGTGAGGCAGGCGGCGGAACCACTGAGCTAAATCCCCAGCCCTCCTAATCTCTCTATATTTGTGATTTTATGTCTTTAGAAAAAGCCTATTATAAGTTTAGCACAATGCTAAGCAGGACTAAAATTAAAGAGGTGTGTGTGTGTGTGTGTGTGTGTGTGTGTGTGTTCTTCTTAATCCTAAAAAATTTTCAAATTGGTTAAGTTCCTTGAATCAGGCATGGTGTTATTTCTGACCTAGGTAGCCAGACTGTGAATTCAGGGCTCCTTCTAAAATAAAAAATTTGTTACCAAGTTTGTGTATTCTGCCTTGCCTGCCCAATTACACACTTTCAAACTTGACTCATTGCCATAATTTCCTGCCAGATATTAACTTCCGGCTTCATCTCACAAAGCAGGAAGCAGAACCAGCAGGAGTCTTTCTGAATACAAGAATCATGGTTTTCGTAGAATAACCTCAAATTGCTCCTATTCTTTACTGCTTCCCAATAAGGAATGAAAGTGTACAGGCTGCAGAAGGAGGTTTCAGGAATCTGAATGCAAAGGCTGTTGAACTCATCATCTCCAAGGCTGTGCCGAAAAAGTAAGGAAATGCTAGTTTCCTGTGCACTCGGTCTAACTAGTCATGCCTACCTCTTACATCTCCTTCTTTTCTTCCAAAGGTCTGACTCTATGAGCTTCTCCCATCACCTCAGCTTTTTGTTGCTTCAATAGCATTTCCAGGTCTCAGCCACCCTGAATCTCTTCCAACTGCACCTGGATTCTGGTTAATCACCCCAGTTCTAAGAGCTTTACATGTGCTAACCCATTTAATCTTCACAACAACCCTACTATTATTGCTGTTTAACAGATTTAGAAACTATGGTGCAGAGAGGTCAAATAGTTGACCAAGGTCACACAGATTTGAACCTAGTAATCTAACTCCAGAGTACATCTTCTTTTTATCACTATGTTAGAGACCACTTATAAATCTTCAATGTGCCAAACACTGTCTCTGAGATAAATATATCAATAAACACACAAATCGGTATGCATACACATACTCATTTATCCCTCTCAGCAGCCCTAGATTAACCAAACAGCCCAAAAGGAAAAATATTGAATAACTGAACAACAAAATTAACAACTTGACCTAATAGACACATGTGCATCACGTACCCAACATTTGGAGAAAACATACACTTTCTAAGTACACAGAATATTTATAAAAATCTTTCATAGAACGGATCTTAATTTTTTTCAAAGCATCAAGGTTGTATAAGTCACTTTCTGTGAATACAGTACAATTAAATTTAAAATCAATAAAAAACATAAAACCTTATATATCTAAGAATCTTAAAGCACATTTTAAAACTCACGGATCAAAAAATAAATCATACAGAAAAGTAGAAAGTATTTGTAACTAACAATATGGAAAATACAACATTTCAAAACTTGTGTGATGTACTGAAACTGGTACATAAATGAAAGTGTGTAGTTTTAGTGCTTATTTTTTAGAAAAGAAGAAAGGAAATTAATAAGGTAGCCATTCAATTTAAGAAGTAAAGAAAAGAACAGTGAGATAGACTCAAGGAGAACTGGAGATAAGTAATATATAAAGACCAGAAATATATAAAATAGAAATTACCCTCAACTATGATTAGCTGGCAGGATGTTGAGTATTAGTGGAAATATAACCCCTTAGGGTGTAAGGAAAGGATCTATGACACACATACCTGCCTCTCCTATTTTAAACTCCTTAAATGGATACTGGTAGAAAAGTCACTGCCTGTGGCCATATGCTAACACTAGATAGTGTCCCCGATTCTGTAGTGGAGTCATTTAGCTAGCATTTATTCAGAGCCCACTCAATGTGAGGCACTATATTGAATCTAAACAAGATTGAGCTAGTGTGATTTGTCTGAAAAACTGGAGGGATTGACTTGCCAGAAATTTGTTTACAGGAGGGCTGAGGTATCTTTGGGAGAATTTTAAAAGAAGGGGCTGGACATGGCCTGCTTATGGGCTTCACTGAGTGAGAAATCCTTTTGCTGCCAGAAGGGTGGCGCACTCAGAGTGCAACACGGTATTCATACCTTGGGCTGTCTCCTGAACCAGGACCTACCAAACTCGTGTTTAAGTTCTTCGAAGAATTAAGCATTATGAATTAGTTTTTAAAGAAAGTTGAGTGAATCTCCATACAACTCTGGGCTTAAACATCTCTCCTGTAGAAGCCTCTAACACAGAATATAGAAAGCAGAGACCTTGGTTGGGTCATTTTGGTTGCAATGAAGAGAGCTGCCGTGATTTAGCATGAGATTTATTGAAATGACCCAGTGATAAAGCAGAGAGTTCACCCAAGAATCCAAGAGTGGAAGTCAGTCTTCATGAACACTGTCACTGTTTATTATGGACAAAGGCAGAATGACAAAGGGGCCTTAGGGACAGAAGTTCATCTGTCTTCCTCCAGATGGACGCCATTACTAACATGAAGCAGGTATTCTCTGTGTATTGGCTTCCTTCTCAACTTTCAATCATTTTCCTTACAGCTGTGCTCCAGTTGCTTCCTTCTGAGCTTCCTAGTTCAAATTCTCAAGCACATGTAACCACCAATCTTATTTGGACAGTGTCTACTCCAGGCTGAGTCAGACCACTAGCATAACAACAGGCTCCCGAGGCTCGAGAGACCCCCCTGGTTCTGCCAGCGAGCTCACTTTCAGAATGCTCACTCCAGCAAAGGCTGTGGACAAGGTGGCTTCTCTTAAAGGAGACTGTTGGCCCAGTAGGCACCAAGGAGACAGGCATCCCCCAGCCCTCCAGATTGTTGGCTGGCATTGGCACAGAGCAGGTGCTGACAGTGTCCATGGAGATGGCAATGGAGAGGTGGCAGGAGTGTTGAGGCCAGGAGGGTCTGTGATGAGGACAGCACTCAGCAGAGCAGCCCCAGGGAGCAGAGGCCTGGCATGGACATCAGCTCAGAGTGCGCCCTGGGCCCATAGCTGGTGGGAAAATATGAGGCATGGTTGCTGTCCTCAAGGGAGCATGGTACTTACAGGTGGAAAGTTTATTTGTCATGTTCTACTTGAAATTTTGTTTGAAAAATTTTTTTGTATTTATAAATACACTAATAACTCCCATGACACAGGTATCAACTGGTAAACAGTCATTTTCTATAGCACACAGCTGTTTATGTACATCAAGGCTACATCTTCTTGACACTACCAGGAATAAGAAAAGAAGACCAAGAGTTAACTAGGTTGCACAAGTTTATATAAAACTCTTTTTGGAGCTTTGTCATTGAAAGTCATTAAAGTGACCTTGCATGATGTTTGCAGATACTTAATGCTGGGAAACATGTGGAAAGGCCATATGCCTTTAGAAACTTCAATAATAAAAATATGTTTAAAAATATTTAGAGTAAAACATGTTCAATAAACCTCAGAGATATGTAGGAAGAGTAGTTGTCGATGACCCAAATCACCCATACCTGGCTGGTACTTTGGTGAATTTCCTTCTAGATTTAGTTTCTATCCCAAATTTTAATTATTTGGTGTAGCAAACCAACAAAAAATATTTTAGTTTTTTTTGAGACAGGCTCTCGCCAAGTAGTTCAGGCTGGCCTTGATCTCAATATATAGCCCAGGCTGGCCTTAAACTCACCAGGACCCTCCTGCCTTAGTATCTTGAGTGCTGGGAGTATAGGTGTGCACAATAGTTTTAGATAGTTATGCTTATACTGAAAAATATAAATTTGTAAACTGCCTTTTTTTGGTTTTGTGTTTTGTTTTGTTTTGAAACAGGGTCTCACCATGTAGTTCAGATTGGCCTTGAACTTCGTAGATAGCCCAGGCTGGCCTCATACTCACAACAATCCTCCTGACTCAACCTCCTAAGTGCTGGGATTACAGGCATGCACCACTACACCTAGCTTTATAACTTGCCTTTTTATGTAGCATTATTAATTCCTAAAACATCATTTGTAATTACCATATAATTTCATTCCTAATGTACCACTCTTTACTACATCCCCTCATGGTAGACTTGGCTATTTATAATTTTCCAGAATAATAACTAATGTTGCAATTATACAGATTTACATGAAGCTTTACTTCACATTCTTGTTTCCATATCATAGATTCTTGAGATAGTTTTTTTGATCAAAGGTTATGAACATTTCTGAAGTTCCTGGCACATATAACTTTGAAAAAAATTCTAAATGAAAAGGTAGCGTAATTAGCACTTCCAGTGAGGACTGTACATTTCAAAATTATCACAATATACACCAAATGTAAAAAACTCTTATCATTTGAAAATTGCTCTCCAGTGTATACAGTGGATATAACTTAGACAGGTGCTCATATCTTGATAATGGAAACATTCTTGTCCTTATTCAAATGATTCCAGGCTATAGAAAAAAGGAAAAACATAATAAGTCATAAGTTTGGCTTGATTAATGATTCATAATCTAAGTAACAATCAAACTCATACTTCATCTTTAAAACATGACAGAATAGGAGAATATCTATTTGAAACTTCTAGGAAAGGCATTACACATATTATGCTGCTAACAACAGGCACAATTTTTCATTTATTTTTTAAATTCTGTACTTGTTAGCAGTTTCAATTATAACTAAATTAATATTAGTATTTTAGCAGATAAAGTTAAAATAATTTCAATAGGATAAAGACACATTTCCCCTCTTCAAACCATGTGCAAATGCACACAGCACAAAAAAGATTTGGTAGTTCAGAGAAGCTATTTCAGTAGGATAAGATTCTAAGCCTTTAATTAACTTATGAACAGGAAAATTCTTAATAAATGGTAAAATTTCTTCATGGTTTAGGATAGCTCTACTTAGAACAATGAAATAGTGCTCATTGTTGAAATAGTGCTCATTGTTATGGTTTGTGTCTAGATGTTCCCCCAAAGCCTCATGTGGTCATAGATGGGCTTTTCAGAGGTGGCTGGATCTAGGGTGTGTGATGCTGGGATTGACTCATGATACAATGCTAGGTTCAAGGGCACTAGGATTAAAGGTGTGAGTGCTGCCACCTTAAATAGTCAAGATAAGATAAAGGGGGCAAAAAGACACTTTTAAGGTCCTTTGTTGTTTTTGCTACCTTGTGGGTTCCATGAACTGTTCTCCTCTGCAATGCCCCTCTGCCAAGCCATCTTGCCTTGGAGCTAGCTGATTATGGACTAAAACCTCTACAGTTGTTAGCTAAATCAACCCTTTTAACTTGGGTGTCAGGTATTTCGTCTTAGCAATGAGAAAAAAGTACCTAGGACATGCATTCAAAACTGCTATACTGCTCTCCCCATACAACATGGAATGTAGAGTTTACAATTACTGAGTTGACTCAATCCATATACAGAAGTCGATAGACACATTGGAATATCAGACAAAAATGAGATTTTTAGATTTTGAGTAAAGATGAAGCAGTAGAAATGGAAGAAATGTGGAACCCTAGATACCTTTCAATAATACTCATTGAATTTTGAGAAGTGAGAGTAAAATGGAGGAGGTAGAGATAGCCATGTCTGTTACCTGGATGATGACTGAATAGGTTCCACACAGCATCTTCGATAACTGAATGACTACTCGGATGAGGCAGACGATCACTTGAAGCCCACTGAGGGTTATGAGAATGGAAAACAAAATGACATTCCATTCCACCACGTGTGCGGGTTCCAGACACTGGGTCCATTCGCTGGAGTTTGTAAGAAAACTGAGAGAGGGAGGAAGTGGTCAACAAGACCCACAGCTTAGTCTATACACTTGATCCAAGGAGGAAGATACAGGTATTGATGTGTTCGGGAAATTAATAGATACTACTAAAATTTATGGTAATATTAATGCATTATTATATTAGAAATACTGAATAATAATATGAATTATATATTCGGAAAACCATTCATTCATACGTATATACACTGAACACACTGCATGCATAGCCTTGAATTAGACACTTAGTTTGTTATAAATTGGTGCCTGCCTTGGAAGCAATTTCAGTTTAATTAGGCAACAAAACACACAGAGAAGAGTTCTACAGCAGTGAAAGGCAGCACATGTTAACACCAACAGAGACAGAGAGCCTTTCTCAAGAGTCATGGGTCAGAGATGGGATTGGGCTTGTACTGGGCATAAAATCACATGTGTGGCAAAAAAGAAAAGAGAAATTCTGTTAGTAATTCCTTGATTCTGACCCAAGCCCTTAAAATAGTGACCCTCAAACTTGAGTGTTCATCCGGAGTATCCAAAAGGCTCAACAAGAAGCAGATTGCTGGGCCCACCCAGAGTGTTGGATTCAGGAGATCTGGGTGAGATAGTCCTTTCCATTTTTCTAAGTCTCCAAGGGACATTGCTGGTTTGCTGCTACTCTGGGCCACATAGTGAGAACCTCTGGTTCTGTCCCAACCATTAAGAAGATCTGATTGTAGGATAGGAACATAGCAGATTGAGGGTTTCAATCGGTCACAAAAGAATGTGAAAATTCAAACATTCCAAGACAGTCTTTTTTTTAACTTTAAAAAAATTTTTTCTTAGTACATGTTTGTACTACCTAATATTTATATTCCTTTGGGGAGTTGGTACATATACATAACACATCTTAATTTCTTTTTCATCTCTTACCCCTTCCCTCTCCACCCATCTCTTTATCTCCTTCCTATTTGAGAAAAAAAACCAAAACACTGAATCAACCTAACTGACTTGCTCACTCCTAGGTCTGCCTTGACCATTAGAACTACTCCGAAGAGCCAGACCCTCTCCATTCAGATAAATTAAAATGGAGAACTGGACTCTATGGAAGACCGTCAAACAAAAATAATCATCAACTATTCTGCAGTTTTTGGTGACTGGATATGCAATTGCCACAAGTGATAGTCATGGACAGAGTGTAGGCTAGACATAGAAGAAACCCATGAGATGTTTAAGGTCAAGCCAGGAAGGATGACAGGGTCCTGCCATTTGTGGTGAGAAGGCAGACTAGTTCTATGTAGCTTTCAGAGGGGTTTGGGTCTGAAAGTCCTAGCACTAAGTCCAGAGGTTTGCTTGAACCCCCCATCTCACTGCCTACATCCAGCACAGAACTCAATGGTCTGTTTTCTACCCCCATCTACCATTGTAAGCAGGGATATGGCTCAGCTTGGATGGTTGCCACAGCCAGGGTGTATGGACAGAGGGGCAAATAGAAAGTAGAGAAAGATGTAACTTGGAGATGAACAGAGGAACATAGAAACTAGAACAGCTGGAGTGACTAGAGTCCTAGAGTGGATCATTGACTGACAACACCCAATGGTAAAAGTGGGACAAAATCCAGCATTCATACCCAGAAATATGAGTGTGGAAACCCTATAGGTTTTAGCAGTGACTCACTATCCCTCATCCCACATCTGATGGAATCCAATACTGGAGACCCTGGGGAAAAAACACTCATTCAAAATAAAAGAGGAATTTTTTTGGACTCATTTCTTCTCCTCTCCATTCTTTCTTCATTGGTTTTCTGGGGTTTGGAGTCTTTTTCTTTTCTTTTTTAAAATTTTGCTCTCTGTTTTTTCTATCTTCTTTTTCTTGTTTGTTCTTTTCTGTTACATTTATCTGATTCTATTAATTTTCTTTTACTCCTTAACAGGATCTTTAATCTCACTTTCTCTCTTCCTCATCCTTTCTTTATTTTTCAAATTTTACTTGTTTCATTCTCACAATTCCCACCCACTCCCCCTTTAATAGTATTACTATTAATCCTTAGATGTTTAGTTAACTGTATGCTATTTTTGTTGAATTTTTTCTATTGTTACTGATGATATAGCTGTCACATTTAGTAGATACTTAGTAGATGTCAATATTATCAAGTCTCTCTTTGAGTCTCTTATTGTTGCTGATAGTGTTGCTATGGCCAGGGTAGCACAGTTGTTCCTATTAATTGTTTTTTATAGCATGCCGATATCTGGTTTGTCTTTTTGTCATAAACAATACTGTGGTTAATTTCTGGAGAACTGGGTTCTGGGCCAACTTCACTGCCTGCACCCTTCCCTTCCAAATTAACAGAGATGGTTGGATCTTGGGACAGAGGCAAAGGTCCACAGTTAGCCATGAAAAGAGTGTATCACTAAAAAGCAGACACTAACTAAAGAAATCTTTACACTAGCAACAAAGTCTTTCCACTGTAAGAGGCCTGTAAACCTCAGCATGAGTGTGCATGCACACACACAAACACACAAAACATGAGAAGAAAAGGCAACTAATCCCTCTGAAAACTTCCAATTCCCTCAAAGCTTGGAGGGGTGTCAATGTGAGAAAATAAAAGAAAAATAGCTGGCTTACACAAAATGATAAAAAACAGGACAAAAAAACCCAGATCAATAAGGTGTTTGGTGACCTCAAAAATGATATAATAGATAATGGACATAATAAACAAAACAATCAGCTTACAGAAATCACTGGATAAAGCTGGTTGAGCTAAAAAAAAAACAATTATATAAAACATGAATGACCATTTTATCAAAGAATTAGAGTTTATAAAAAGTACTAAACAATAATCGAGATAAAAATTTCTGTTGAATGTATGGGCAGCAAAAGCAACCAATTTGAGGACACAGTATAAAAACTAGAAGCTAAAGGTATACTTCTATCATTTTGATGTTTTTGTTAATGTTTCTAAACAATGTACTTTGAAATCAAAATCACTTCTTATCATTTTCATTTACTTCTGATGCACTTCATCACATTAATGATCAGAAATGAGGTGTAATTCCCCAACCCCTGCCCACAAGAGCTAAGTAGGATCTTACTGTAAGTTGAAGGGAGTTCTGCCCTAACTCATGGATTGTGAAGAATGAACTGCTGTTGGGTCTGATTGACTGTCGATGGATTGTGGTGTGGCATATCTGGAGGCTATTGAATGCAACTTACAATGCTTAATAAAAATCTTTATTCTTTTAGTATAAAAAACCCCCAAAACTAGAAGCTAAGACTGATATAGGTGACCATATATTCAGAAATACATTAAAAACAACAATAGAACATGGAAAATGGATCCAATAGCTGCTGGATGATGCAAAGAAGACTAATTGAAGATTAATTGGAATTGGTGAAAAATCAGAAGACATCACAAATGGCATAAAAAACTTGTTTATAGAAATAATAGCAGAAAACTTTCCAAATACAATTTAATGTACAGATAATGAGGTGTATTGAACCTTATATAGCCACAATCAGAAAAGGACTTCACAACACATCATAGACAAAATCTCAGAAACCCAACCCAAATACAGAATCTTAAAACCTTTTAGAGAAAAGCAACTAATCACTTATAAAGGTAAACTCATTAGAATTACAATAGACTTGTCAACACAAACCTTAAAGCCCAACAGAGCAAGGAGTAAAGTGTTTCAGACTCTAAAAGAAAGCAACTTCCAGCCAAGATTCATGTGTCTTGCAAAAATATGTTTTGAAATTGATGGAGAAATGAGGCATTGAAAGCAGCCTATATGTCCATCAACAGATGAATGGATAAGGAAAATATGGTATTTATACACAATGGAGTACTGCTCTGCAATAAAGAAGGATAAATCTGAGCAATTCATAGGAAAATAGATGAACCATGAGACCATAATGTTAAGAGAAATAAATCAGACACATAAGGTTAAATATCATGTTTTCTCTTATATGAGAAAACAAAAGTATAATAAAAAGGAGCAAAATAAAAGATAGATAATAGAAAATATGGAGATTGAACTTTTGCAAAAGGAAAAGGGATCAAGAGAGGGAGGGAAGGGTGATAGGAAGATAGGAAGGGGATAAAAATAAGTAAGATGTGTTGTGTTGTGTAGTGTACCAATTCCCCATTAGGAATGCAATCATTACATACTACAAACATATACTAATAAAAAATGTTTTAAAAATAAAATGGATTCAGGATCCTCACCAGTCATCATATGAGTTGGTGGCAGCATCATACATACTGGACAGCTGACAGGCTGAGAATACCATGTGGCATAAAGGAGCATCCAGGGTAATGACTCTAATAATAAAACTTGGCATGTCATAAAAATGTTTTACATCTCCCTTGTGCATTACTTCCATTTAATACTCAATTCTATGAGTTAGAAAAGATTATTATTTCCAACTTACAGAGACTCAGAGATATCCAGATATTTGCCAAAGGTCATAGAGCTTATTGAGGCAAGACTTAAGATCTATAAGCATCAAAGACCTATGCACCAAGGGCAAGATTCACCCTAAGGCTTCCTTCTCTAATATTCCATTCATCCCTAGATGGCAGGGGGCTCTCTATACTTTATCTCTGATACATAGAACATAGTAGGTACTCAATAAATATTTGCTGAATAATTGCACAAATGAATAACTATATGTTCAATTTCAGTCTTATTCCCTGTGCCACCCTGCATCTCTTAAGTTTTGGAAACTTCTGAAAGACCAGAGACTAGCTTCCTACATGACCTCCAAATATTTTTATATAGACAGAGGCAGGTGAAAACAAGCATCAAAGACAGCTTATAGGAGTGGTGGAGAGGCATGTGGGTAGCCTGAGATTCACGTATTGAAAGAGGAAGGATTTCAGTTTGGTGGCAGGGAAAATTTCAGGGGCTAGTGGCATAAAAGAAGGGGTGGGGGTCTTCCAACCCCCCCCAAAGGAATTTGTATATGAAAGTCCTTTTCCTGACCCCCTTCAATCTCACAAGAGTGTCTCCTCCAACTACTCAAGAAGTCCTGTGGTTACTGTCTGGGTCCACCCTTACCTAAAGGAGATCCCTGCTTACTAAAAGTGGTACATTATCAAATGTCCACAATGAAGGAGCTCTGGGCACAGATGCAGCTCTGCCATGCCTGTACACCCAGATAGACAAGGCCCTTGAACATATAGCTGATCACTGGGAGCAGAGAAGAAAATGGAACTTCCCCTGGGAATGGTATCATTTTATCCCATTAGAATTCTGAGCACAGGATTAAAAACAGACTCAGTGGACCTCTCTTATATCTCTTTCTGGGCTTAAGCTACATCAGCAGGTATTGGTCACCCAATAAATCCGGCACAGGGCTGGGGGAGGCATTCTGAGATCGAAGACTGGATTGCTAGATCTACCAGCCTTTTGGGCAAGCTAAGTGGGCTCTTTGCTCCTTCTAGAACCTGACGTATCCAGTTGTGTTCCTGAATCTCAGACTTCATGTCCCATTCACCTGGTTCTATCTCTGTGTTGCCCCTGTTGCTATAGCCCAGAGTGGCACTATTGATGGGCATCACAGCTCCCTCTCAGCCAAGCCCCTTTCACATCTGTAAGAAACCCCATGTCCAGCCTGGCCACAAAATGAGACTGAATTGCTGGAACCAATCAGACCCCAAGCACCAGCAATTACCAGGCCACAGTAGCCAAGAGGTGCTAATCTGAAACATGGAAAGACATACACTTCATTTGGATATATCCGTGATAGCCTCAGAATACTGGATGCATATTGCATTAAAAGACTGGAGAAAGTAAACATCTAATTAAAGATCTGTGTAGGAATGAACAAACTGATCTGGATATTAGCAAATTAGTAGGAAAAGGTTACACTAAAGTAACTACATAGAACCTCACAGTTCTTGTGGCAAATGGGCTTAAGTATGAAGCCAGGGGTTCCTGGTTTTCTGAGCTCCTTGGTTTGGGGAGTTAGTCCTTACCGTCCTGCAGTGCCTTCAAATGCATAGTGCCAGCCATCCTGGGTGCGGCAGTATGGGCCCTGGACAAGACCCAAAGCAGATATGACCAGGCAGTATCCAGAGAAAGCAATTCCAAGGGCAGAAAAGATAACAGACAGCAGTGTCTAAATTAAACATAGGAGAAGGTTATTGCCATAGACTAAGACAAAGGGGTCGTGTGGATACATTTTTGAAAGGGTATTTCCCCTTCTGATCCACATCTATTATAGCTTATATAATGCCAAATGCCCACAACAAACCAAAACATTTAACCCAAATATAGCTTATCTTTAAAATACATCTGAAAATGACCATTTGTTTCCCATCACATAGAGGGAACTAGGTAATTTACTAAATTTTTCCTTTTTTCTGGAATTTTAACATCAAAATAAGGATCTCCTCTTACAGAATTGTGGTGAAGGGATGTGATTGATCATCCTAGCTATTTATAAACCCTGTTCTTTTCTAGATATGAAGGGTTCTGTAAGAATGATAAGCTATGACCTTTTATATGTTAATATTTTCACATGGAGGAATAGAAAGGGGACTATCTTGTGTCAGCCTAGATATTCACATTCACATGCAGATGGAATGGAGGGGGAAGAGGGTGCTTCCACCTGAGTTGGGGGGCAGGAGCCGGGCACAAGAGAGTTTTGAGGCATTGAGAGGGTGGTCTGACCACAGGAGCGAGGGGAGAAGCTCCGAAGAGCAGGTTGCCCTGGTCTAATGTAGGGAGACATGGCTGACAGGACACATTTCAGCCTTCAGTGCTCACCCAGCCCCAGCGAACACAGCTTCACAGATGCCTGAATGCCGGATCAGAGATCTGCACTTCCTTGGCTAAGGACTTCTTCCTGACACCATTTGACTTAAAATTTTTAAGTCTATAAAAATATTGAAGGTGTAGTACCACAAATCTTTGTATGTCTTTTATCCAGCCTCCCTTGTCCTGAATATTGTACCACATCTGTGCTCCCTGTATATGTATGATGTATATATGCACACAGATATATATTTAATTATACAATTTTGTTCCTGAACCATTTGAAAGTGAGTTTGTAGGCTTTATAATCTTAAATACATCAGCATACACCTTTTCTAAGGATAACAACAGTTTACTGCTTTGTAATTCTTTGAAACTTTTTGTAAAATGTCCAATGAAGTTTTATATACAAGAGTATGTCACCTTCGTTTCCTTTAATCTATACCAGTTTGACTTTTTGTTTTTCATAATATTGATTTTTTTTTTTAAAGAAAGCCAGCCAACCATCATGACCACCCACATTCTGGGCTTTTCTAATTGTTTCCACACATGGGGACCCAAATATTTTGTCAAGAATACTTGAATGGTATGCTTTATATTGTGTGTCTCTCATGCTATTGGTGGTGCTAAGTTTGTTCTCTTGGCTAGGGCATCCTTCAGATCTCTCCCCTGCACAGGTACATTTTCTGTCTTGCAATTAGTAAATAATTGGTGAGGTAGTACTTTGAGACAGTGTCATAGTCATTTTGTAACAACATTTCCCCGATGGCTCTAGCATCCACTGGTGAGCCTCCTACCCACTGATCACCAGTGGTCACATGAGGGCTTGCAATGTGCAGATTTATAATTCTACCATGTCCTTATATTTTACATTATCATTTTTCTGTACAGAATTTTCATTTTCCTTCTCTCTTTTGCTTCTCTCTTTCAATATTATTTTGGATTCATAGGTTTTATAATACAAGGTGCTATAATTTTAACCTCCATTATTCTGTTAAGTGCCCCAGTTTGGTGATGGGAAAAGCCATTTATTTAAGTCAATGCCCTTTGACATTCCCCCATCCTGTTTTGATCACTCCCTTGCTTTCCAGGGTTCCCAGTTCATTTTGAACTTACCTTGCCCTGTTTTTCTAAGAAATCATGAAGCTGGTTTTTGAGCAAGGAAGTGACATGAACAAATGTACTTTTGGAAGATTGCTTAGTGGTGGTGGCAGCACATGAGCTGAAAGTGAGAGAGCCCAAAGATAAGGATTCCATGTGGAGGCAACTTCACATGAGGTGACAAAGACATGCACAGGAGGAAAATGCATCGTGGGGAAATGAGTAACTGGAGATGGACTGAAAGAAAAACCCTAAGTTAGGTGTTGGATGAAAAGGATACACCAACAGGGATGTTAAGAAGGGCAATTTGGTTTGGGAGAAAAATTAATCTATTTTTAAATATGTTAATATGAAGGTAAAAGGAAGACACCAAAAAATCAGTATGTGTCAGCTACTTGATAAATCCATAAGCTGAGACCAGAAAAAGTAAACAAACCTGTGACATCACAAATAAAATTACCCCAAATTGTATTTCTTTGTTTAAAATTTTTTCACTGCTTATACATTACTACATGGAAAATTGGGAAAACATTTCTATACACAAAGAAGTAAAGAATAATTCTGATTTGATAATCATTATTTCATTGGTATGTTCACATATGATTAAATGCTCTTTGAAATTATTTCTCATATTAATTTTAATGGTTTTACCAATGAAATGAGAGAACCAGAGCTACATTTTTTTTTTCAGTACTAGATATCAAACTCAGGACCTTGTGCTTGCAAGGCAGGTGTGGTGCCACTGAGCTAAATCCCTGGCCCCAGAGCTATGTTTTTTAAAAGGTAGATTAGTTATATTTTATAAGGCAAATCTGCCTGTTCTCATTTATTTGCTTATTTACAACTTTAAAAAAGGAAGAAGCATGTTTGAAAAAGAGACAGATCCTTGCTTATCAAATGGGCCCTTAATACGTTCACCAGAAAGATTAGTGGGGAATTCCTTTACTTAGGGAAATTGGCAGCCACAGCAAATGTATGTACACAGGACATACACACCACTGCACAGTTGAGGCAAGCCTCAATTCCTCAACAAAGTGGGACTGAGAATCTCTCTGAGTCATAATTTCATTTTCTGTAAGTTGTACATGATGTAGAAGATAATAGCGCCTACGTAACAGCTGTTTTGAAAAATTAAAACATAACACATATTAGCTATTATTTCAAATGAACTTATTTGACCAGTATTTTCTTTCCAAGGATAACTGCCCAAGAATTTTGGCAGAAGACAAGACTGTTGCTGTTTTTACAAACATTGCTTAGGCTGGATAATTTATAAACAACAAAATGTTAGTGCTCACAGTCCTGAAGGCTGGGAAGTCCAAGATTAAGTTGCCCCAGATTTGATATCAAAGGAAGGCCTGTTCTTCATAGATACCACTTTCTATATGTTCTCACATGGTGGAAGAGGTCAGGAGTACTCTTCAAGTCTTTTTAGGCACTAATCCAATTCCTGATGGAAGAGTCCTCATCACTTACTAAGTTCCCAAAAGCACTTAATCCTACAATGGCGATTAAGTTTCAATATGAATTTCGGAGAGACACATTCACAACCAAGACGTGACTTTTAAGTGACCTCAATTTTCATTACAGACCTGCAAAAGTAACAAATTGGTGCAGACTTCAATTTGGCCTGCAAGATGTGTTTTATTTGGTTTAAATGAGAATTAACTGTCAATATTTTATCATTGAGAATTTTTATATAAAAACCTGTTTTTCTACTGAAAACTGGGAATTATCATCCAATTCTATCATAGCAACACTTGACTCTCTTGAGTAGCAGCTCCCTCTCCCGCATAGATGGACATTTTGCTCTAATGCCTACCAGGCTCACTTTTATTTATATCGCACATTTAGCTACGGGGGGCACATAAACTGAAACCTCTGTTTAGGACCTATCTTGAAAAATCAAACAAGGAAGAAAGGAATCCGCTCTCCTTTGCTCTGCTCTCCCTAATGAGACGTCAGTCATCTTCTTCAATGCCAAATATAAGACAATATTCCGATTATTTCTAGCACCCTTTCATGCTGGAGATGCTAATAATAAGTTAAAATAAACTGAACATTGATTTTTATAACATACTTAATGATTGACACATTTGTTTTAGAATTTCCTTGAATATAATAGTATTATAGCTTAAATGTGTACATAAATCCCTTGCTTACCTAAACAATTTTGAAAGCTCTTCCGTAAGTATAATAGAAGTACTGTATCAATAGTGCATATCTGAGTAGACACACACGCACATGAGAGAGAGAGAGAGAGAGAGAGAGAGAGAGAGAGAGAGAGAGGGAGATTGTATTTAAATTCTTCTCATCTAGGACACAGTGCTAAATTAAGCAACAAATTTCATTTTCTAGAGGCACCAGTTAAAGAAAGTTGGCTGTACCAACTTAGTTACACATTAAACTCTCCTGGGAGATTTTTGAAAAGTCCACACCCAGGTCATACCTCAGCTGACAATTCAGAGACTCCAGGTGGGAGTCGGGCACTAGTATTTATGTGAGTTCCCAGGTGACTGCAATGTGGAGCTAACATGTGGTGCCATGCTGCAAAGAAACGCCCACCAGACCTCACTTTAAAGCTTCTCCTACTTATTATTTCACATGTTCTCTTGAGTCACAGGAGCTCCACCTGTAAAATAGGAGCACTGGTGACCTAATGGACTGGGTAAAGGTGAAAGAACTATGGAGTGCTATGCAAAGGAGAGTTAATGATGATAAGAAAGAAGAAGAGGAGAAGGAGGTTAATGGTGGAAATGTGGGAGTCTAGGCCTGCCTGTTGAGCCTGGGGTGGGAAAATCTGGTTGTATTATTCACTCTGGTGCCATTTTAATTATTTTTAAAGTTCTAATTTTTAAAAGTACATTATATATGCCTAACAACATAGATGAATCTAAAAATCATTGTGGTATGTGACAGAAGCCAGATAAAAAATGCAATTACTATAAGATTCATTTTATATAAAATATAAACTAATCTGTAATGGTAAAGAACATATCAAAGGTTAATCTTTTGGGAGTAATGGAAATGTTCTTATCTTCAGTCTCATAAATGCATTCAATGGCTTAAACTCGTGGAATTGTACACTTTCAATGGATGCCATTTATTGTACATAAATTAGTCTGCAGTGAAGTTGATAAGGGAAAAATTAGACACCTAGAAACCACTTAGGAAAAAGAAATATTGTTTTGTAATTTTACATATGTTTAAATCCTGAGTTTCTGGAAGAACATCAGCAGAATGAAGGTGGAGAAAATAGTGTAAACAAAGTGGAAGGGATCTTAGGAGTAAACTCGTGGTCTCTGAGTGACAGGGGATGGAGAGAGTGTGATGGTGTCAATGTTTCCACATTTCTGAGTGCGAGGAAAGAAAGCTGGAGCCACTAAACCACCACCATCCCGCCCCAAACTATCGCTCTTACCATGTACTTTCTGCTGCAGTTTTCACTCTGGCAACATTTATGTTTATTGTCCAGGACAAGGAGAACTGCAGCTACTACAAGCATCTGTAAGGAGGGGAGAAATGTGAGAAATGCAGTGCTGCTTCACACTCCTGCTCCTGATCAGAGAACAGTGACTCCAAGCATAGTCCCTGGAGTCAGGCAGACCTGGGTTCAAATCCCAGCTCTGGCACTTCCTAGCTATGTGAACTGGAGAGTCGTTCCCTACAACACAGTGTGAGAACTCACTTCCCTGAGTTGTCATGAGGTAATATGTAACATTGGAGCTTAGTGCTAGATTTATAGTGTTTAATAAATATTAGCTATTATCATGGTTTATAATAGCCCAAAGCTAATGATTAAGGAGGAATAGATGGTAGGGTGAGGAGAATGCCATCTTTGGCAGCAAAGCTGCTTTTCTCACTGACTGAGTTGTGGAGGACAAAGGAAACCTATTCACCAGAGTTTGCAGTTTGACAGCCCCACTGCATTTACTGCCCTCTGGGAATGGAGATGACAGGCATAGTTAATCTGAAACTATGTCTCTTTAAAGTAAGTTTAGTCTCCCCATGCAATCGAGCCTTCTCACATTCAAATTTTCAAGTGTATTTTGTCTGTTTCAAGCAGAAAACTGGAAGAATTCCATGCATTCTGCCTCTCTCTCTCTCTCTCTCTCTCTTTCTGTATCTTAAACAAGGAACTCAAGCTCTGGAAAGAATGTGGTTGTCTTTACTGTTATAATTTAAGGGGAAGGCAGCTATGGACTGCAACCTGTGGGAAATTCTCCATCCCTGACTTATACCCAATGCTCAGTATCAAATCCTCACTGTTATTTTACTATTTGTAGCCAATATTTCCAGTTTCCAAATTCCTTCAGCCCTCATTTCTTTATCTGTCCATTTAATTATTTATCTATATTTTCCCCTTTCTCCTAAAAATATTTTTGTAGTTAAAATAATAAATTTCCTAGAAAATTAAAGTAATTAGTAAAAATAGGAAATAGGTTGTTTCCCATTTTAAATTTTATCTGGACTATAAGCCAGTGAGTCATATATTTCTCTAATACCATTAGTTACTACAGATTTTAAGATCTGGTTTAATCTTTTTTTTTTCCTGGTACTGGGGATCGAACTCAGGACCTTGTGCTTTTGCAAGGCAGGGGCAGTGCCACTGAGCTAAATCCCTGGACCAATTCTGGTTTAATCTTATTTATGCCTTGCACCTTTTTGGTTCATTACAATTACATATTGAGGGAAAAAATAATGGAATAAAGCTGAAGTACAGTATTGGTAGAAATAATTAACTCTGTGCCCTAGTGTCCTGTTGCTCAGACATCAACTGTTGAAAGACAGATTGCCTTGTTTTTGTTTGTTTGTTTTAAAACACAACTGCAATACAGGGGACTCAAGAATAATGGAGGAAAATTACCCATAATTCCACCACCCTCCTGTGTTTTAGCATATTTATTTTCAGTGTTTTCTCATATCCATATGTCTTACATAGTTGCAATACTAATTTACCCAATTTTGTAGTATCTTTTTCACTTAATATAAAATAATATGCATTTTTTATGCTGTCATATTTTCATAATTACATTTTTATCCATGTATGAGGAGAATATGCCAAAATTTATTCAGCCTTTCTCTGCTAGGATGCTCCTTCTTGTTATTTGCTTAATAAATAATGCTATCACAATGTCTGTGTGTATCACTCTTTCATTATGTTGGAGTATTTCCTCAGAATTAATGATAAGATTTAGGATTACTGAGTCAAAAGACATAAGCACATTCCTTGACTTTGATACAGTGTACCAACTCTTCTCCCAAATATTTGCATTTATTTGTGATGCCACTAAGAACATTAGTTATGTACCTATTACATAGCAACTTCAATAGCACTGGACACTAATATCTTCAGGTTTACTAATTTAATATGGTAAACAAAATGAAACAAAAACTGCTTTCCAGTATAATGATTCAAATATTGTAATAGTCAGAAACACAGGGCTGGGGATTTAGCTCAGTGGCGCTGCACCTGCCTTGCAAGCTCAAGGTCCTGCGTTTGATCCCTGGTAGCAAAAAAAAAAAAAAAAAATCAGACACACAAAGATGTAGAGATAGATGATAATGAATTTTCTTTGACATGATTCATAGCCTAGCAAAGTTACAGTACATAATGTATTGTTTTCAGAAATGGGATGATCAGGAAAAGTGTCTTTTCCTCTAGGTTGCCAACATGATTTACTATTGTTTTGTTTATTTTTTAAAGAACACAAAACTATCAAGAAAACTTGGGTTCTTACCACTGGTAATTTGACTTCATATTTTAAAAATACCCTTCATCCATCTCATTAGAGGTATAAAGTTGAGCTATTTAGTGCTGACATGTCCCAGTCTTTGATTGAGTATTTATAATCACAATAATACTGACTACTTACTACTATATCAGCTCTATCCTAGGCACTTTATGTGATTTTATTTATTCCTCACAGTCGCTTTGAAAATTAGATGTCATTATTCACATTTTTAACACAAGACTCAATGTTTTTGAGTGAGTTGCCAAAATCCTCACAGCATGCATGACAGAGCCTAGCTCTGAAGGCAGGTTTGTCTGAATCTCTGTGTCACTGATATTTCCATGCTGTCACAATGCTCCCTCAGGCTACAGAAATTATTGTGCAGGGAGAAAATCTGTTCTGGAAAAGAATAATGCGACTGAAGACTAAGTAGCTTAAATTGATTCATGGGGTTTGTGATATTTTTCAGTTTATTATTTTTACAAGGCAGTGTCCCACAAACTTTCATTTAGGACTAACTTCCTGCTTTGCTGAAGTTCCATTGCTGAGTAGCTTATTGAAAACAAAGCTACACCCCAAATCCTAAAGGACTACCACCCCCTCCCCCTCTACCCATCTTCTAAATCTCAAACCTAAGATCAGTAGGATGATTTTCTACAACTCTCCATTCTGCAATCCCAAATCTAAAAATCACACTTACCATTACTCCTGAGAAACAGAGTCCTTCAAAATACCACACGTAGTTGGTGAGTTTATTGCTGGATGCATAGAAAGTTTGCCCGTTTGGGAAATACAATAATATATTCACAATGATACTCCAAAGTGCAAGAGAAATCAGCAGACAACTTAGGCAGCCTCCACACTTCCAAGACCCCATTTTTCCCTGCTTGGAACCTGCAGATTTCAAGAATACAGAATCACATAAAGCCTGTCTTTCTTCTCACCTGTCTTTTTTGCTTCCTTTTATATTACCTGCCACTTTCTGGGTCAGAGACCTTCACTTCATATTCATGAGGAGCCAGCACTTGGACTACAACAGCAGCCAACAATCTCAGTGTGAAATAGTGGTTTACTGTTCGGAGAACAATAGACAATGATCACGGCTGAAGAGCTGAGTTGGTCTTCATCCTGTGCCAAAAGAATGAGGTGTTTTTCACTGCTTTTGAAAATAAGTCATTTTCCTCTGAATTAGAGCATCGGAGACTTAACCCCCAAGAAGGAAGTTAAAGGGAGAACTGGAATTGAGCCCGGCAAATTTCAACCAGCAGTAAAGAGAAAAGTACCAAGGATGCTCTTTCTAGAGCATGGTATGATTGTTATCCTTTTTTATATATCGCTCTTTAACTCCATGTTCTTTATTGTCTGGTGACTATTGAGCATTATTCAAACTGGAAGGGGTACACAGAGGACTAAGGAACCGGTGAGAAAAACAAGACATCACAATTGGTGACTTGATTGTTATAAGATCAGTACAGCTTTCTTTCCATGAGTCACAGCTATCACCTCTGCCTCTCAGGCATAAATGCATATTTTTTTTCTTACTGTTAAGGAAAAGGAGAGAAAAGAAGGTGAGTAATTTGATTAATATTTTGTAAACAATGAGTTTGAAACAAGGATTAGGAATTCTGCCTTACAAATTATTGCCTTAAGTTCAAAGAGCCACAGATGTCTTCTAATTATGATGACATGAGAAAGGAATTATGGGAAGGAGTCTGGGTCCCAGCATGTTACAGACAACGTGAAAACCACAGAAAAGACCTCAAGGGTTGCTTAACCTAGATTCCAGTCCTTCTGTTGGGACCCTGCTTAACTCAACTTTCTTAAGTTTCAATTTCCTCAGCTATGAAATGGGGTTATCCCTGAATAGTAATGTGAAGATTAACAAGATTGTTTATGCAAAACATCATATCAGGTGCATATAAGCAGCCATGAACGGGAGCCATCAGTCTCTCTCTCTCTCTCTCTCTCTCTATCTCTCTCTCTGCTGGGGATGAACCCAAGGCCTCATACATACTAGGCAAGTACTCTACCACTCACTACATCCCCAGCCTGATAGTCATCAGTCATAATAAAAGGGCTCTACCAGGGTAAGGAAGGAGGATAGAAAGTTCGAGCCATGGCAGCACAACTTAGCAAGACCCAGTGTCAAATTAAAATTAATAATATTATTATTTTTATTATGGCAGTTAAAGGAACAAAATTGTCAAAATAATACATAAATCAGAAGAAAGTTTGCTTATTTACTCTTCTTTGTATCCAGAGTTCTGAATCATGAAGTCCTAAATAGTTCTCAAAACTATTTACATTTAATATGATCTTGTCTTCCTGAAACAATTAATACTTTATAGCATACATGCTTTTGATTCCAGAGAATCAAAATTTATTTTCATAAGCATAATTGTAAGATTACATTATAATTGTACTTTTATTTAGAGAATTTAGATACTTGGAGCCACTTTTGGATTCAAACAAAACAGAGAACATGACAACAGAGAAATTTAAGGTGGAGGACAAGATGATCGGAGGAAAGAAACTGAGAGGCCCAGAGATTGGAATGATCATTTACAACAGATGTTAACAGTGGCAGGTGTAGACAGAGTGACTCACTTAGAAAGTGCCTTCCAGGAATGAAAGGAAGTCACCTTGAAGGACAGTGAACTAAGGGTAGGATGTGTTGGAAAATTTATCCAGTATTGAAATTGACATTCTCTTCAGACATTTATTACAACATTTGCCCCCATACACATCAACATTCAAGCAGAGGTGCCTGAAAAATGAAAAATGTTTTATTTGATGCTCAGTTTTCTTCATCTGAAACCTGCTCTCATGGAGGTTCTAATAGGCACTGAAAGGAGGAGCAAGAACAGAGACAAAAGGAGGACAAGATCACCACAGAAGAGTCATTACCTATGGAGAAGCCCAGGAGTTGAATCAGACATATTTGCAAGGTTCTAAGGAGGTTTAATCTAATTGAGATTTCATAAAAGTATTTATTGCTGATTATTTTATATTTTAGAGAGGCGTGACAAGAATACATTTTGTTGAAGTTTACAGAGAATGTAGTCTTAGAATATTTTCCACATTGTAGAATACCGTAGCTTCCAGGAATTTTCCAAGTCAGTGAGGTGAACTATCACACTCAGTCAGAGACCCCTCAAAATAATCATGATGAATTACTGTCTATTGAGTATTTTCCATGTGCCAGGTTCTATGCTAGACATTTTCACAAGTATTAAAAATAAACAACTCTTTCCCATTAATTCTTTCAGTGATACAAAGGTAAAGGTTTTATTACCCCCATTTTACATGTGTACAAAAACCATCTGTTGTGGATTGACTAATGGTCAACTTGTAATGCCCAGCTGAACTGAATCAACGTGGTCTAGGCATGGAGGATCCACCTGAGGATTGTTGTCAATAGCCATAGAAGAAAACTAGAGGGGAAGATCTTGGCATGTTGATTTTCTAGGAGAAGCTTGCTGCAGATAGTTTTCCTGATGCAAACTGAGCTGTTCTTTTCAGAGGAAGAATTTGGGTCCTCGCTGTTGTTGGGAATGGCTGCTGTTTTTGTCAGGGGAGCTCTGATATTCACCGTGAGCATCACTTCCTGGCTCCAGTGTGGATCCTTCAGCTTGGGGACACAAATCCTTCATCTTACAGTGTAGGTTTTCTGGCTTCCACCACTGGCCTTTGGGCCTTTCTGGTGTAGATCCTCAATATAGACAAGCATAAGACATTCCCATGGGCTCTAGGACACTGGCTGGATTCATGGAAGACATTGCCTTGGACCTTTACTTCCTATTACACAATATCAATTATACATTTTTAAAATTACAATATCAAGTAAATATCAAGTGAATGTCTAAAGGAGCAGGGGAATTGGGAGGAGTAAGGGAAAGAAGGGAAAAGAAAAAATACGAGAAAAGGAAAAAAATGGAAACAAAGTCTTTGCAAATAGGGAAGGGTGGAGGGGGTGATGGGAGGGCAGAGGATGGGGAAAAAAATAAGAACCAAGATACTCATGTAACAGTGCAAGATCCCAATGATGAATGTAACTGTATTTTATACCTAAAATGTACCAATAAACTTAATGGGGGGAAAAAAAGACATTGCCTTGGATTCTAAGCCTTTAGCTGGACTTGTGTGGGAAATTGCTGGGATCCAGGCCCTTGGCTGGATTCTTTGGGCCTCTAGTGTACTCCTTTGTGTTTGACTTTTTGAGTAATTATCATAAAATAATCCTATAAACTATGAGTACTGTAGTAAATGTATTATCTTACAAAAACCCTGACTATAACATCATCTAAGAAAAATTTTAGAAACTTACTCAGGAGCTAGAAGATAAATCCAAATCTTTTATACTTTTTGGACTATTGCATCACTTTTATCCTTGTCTGATACATTTCTATGCAGTGACCCCTTCTCTTTCTTTGCAAATAGGTTTTAAATAGGAACATTCTGATTCCTTGGTAGTGGCTGCCTATAGGGTGATTTTGAAGGTCTCCTGGCTTCAATGAGAGGGATCTTCAGGCCAGCTAGTCTGCCTAAATAGGTAAGTGATATCTGCTACAGATACAGGGTCAAGGAAGTGCAAAGTACATAGCTAGTATTCTCTGGACTTGGTCAATATTCAAATAGTGTGTGGTTTCATGTGAATAGTGATGGTTTCATGTCACAGGTAGTTATTGAGACTTCAGGGACATGCTTAACCAATTGTCATTTGGAAAACTGTTCAGTAAGAGCAACAAAATGAATGAAGAAAATGTAACTGGCTGAAAAAAACCTGATGAAATTGTGAAAAAGGAAGTTGAGCAATTTCCTTATCTTTGGTTATCCCATTAGTGAAAATATCTAATGAAGTCTCTTCAGAGAATGAAAACATTTACTTAATTTTATGCCTAGGAAAAGTTTTTAACCTGCCTCTGAAAAAATGTGTCCTAATAAATAACATCCTTGAAGCTCTTTGCCTTCAGTAAGCTCTCAATTTTCCTGCCCAAAATTTCTTACTAAATCAGGATTTTTTGTTGGTCGCCAGTAACTGTGAAGAGTCACTGTAATGTTGTGCTTATTGGCTGCTTCTGGTCTCGGCTTCCTGTTCTCAACAGCAGAGATGAGGAAATCCGCAGGATGCCTGCTACCGGGAGACTGGGTGACTCAGGAGGAAACACTCCACCTAAAATAGTTTTGGTGTGCAGCCTCTGAGTCACTGTGGAGTCAAAGTTCATGTGTAATCCTGAAATTAGTCCCGCAGGTGATGAAGAATAGGGAAGAAGGAAGCATCTGAAAGAAGTTTATCAAAGACAAAAGTTTGCCAAAATAATAAAAAAACAATTAGCAGCAGAAAGGGCTAATATTTTAGAAAAAAAATTTATTCTGAGAATTCAAAGTAGATGAATTGTGATTTCCTCCACTGACTATGGCCACAAATCCTGGTTAGGGTCCACAAGGACCCACTTTGCATGAATGTTTGTATAAAAACACATTAGGACAGCAGCAAAGAAACAGCTGTGTAAACAGAAGTAGTGTTCCTGATTTTTGTGTTTAACATTCTTTCTCAAGATTTATCTGGACCAGAGTCGAATGGAAGACGCCTAGTCACCCCGCTGCAGACAGGCAGGTCTGCCCACGCCCTGCCGAGGTCCCCAGTCGCGCAGAATATGCCGAATCATCCCGCTGCACACAGGAAGGTCTGTGCACGCCCTACCGAGGTCCTGAGTCCCGCGGAAGACACCGAATCAGCCCGCTGCAGACAGGCAGCCACCTGGTTCCACATTACAAAGACGCAGAGGACACCAGACCACCAGACCAAGGTACTGAGTCCCGCTGTTCCCGGCCCAGAGGTAGGGGCTTCTGAGCTGCCGTCCCACTACTCCTGGTCCAGAGGAAGGGGCTTCCCGGTCACCATCCCTCCCGCTGCTCCCAGCCCAGAGGAAAGGGCTTTTGGGCCACCTTCTG